ACCGGGAGAGCAAGAGTAAAAAAGAGAGGACCCGGACAAGGAAAAAACGAGAGAGAATCCCTATGGTTGGCTTGCCTCGAGATCTCGTGGATTTCCTACCTTTAAAGGGGATATAATTTCAAGCTACACCGTGTCGCGATGTTTTTCTTTCCTTCTCTCTTCGTTTTCTTTTCGCCGTCACCGACGGATTATTACGAATAGAGACGACTGAGATAAACATTTGCTCGGAAAAGGGGCGAGAGTCGTTAGCGAACGAGTACAACATGACGCCATTTTAAACTTTCAGAATTCGGCGTGAAAGGTTGCAGTAGGGGGAAAATCTGCGTATCGGCGAAATCTGTCGCGATTCCAGCCGTTTTAATTAGAACGATCAAATTTTCTAAAGATTATTCCAAGCTTAAAAAACGTTCAGATTTTTATGATCCAAAGACCAAGTGGAAGAATAGAATTTTCGGAAAATTCGATAGAGGCAATTATGCTATATTTTATTGGCAACCAATTATAATTATAAACGTTTCGATCGATCGATCGAAAGGGTGCTGCTTGTTCGGTCGAAAACATCTTTCGCTTGGAACCCATCGGCCGTTGAGCGTAGCTCGCGCGTTATGATTTATCGTCCAGGTGTCATTAATATGCCGACGAATCTGGATCACGGCACACCCCTAACGCGAAGCGGTAAATTCATCGCGGTATTTAGTGGAGGGAGCCTCTGCATGCGCGTTCTTCTCGTCAATGCGGACCCGTTGAAAAACAGCCATTGTTGCGGCGTACAATGCAGAAAGCTTAATTGCCATTTGGCCTCGCATTATGCGGTCGACCGACCGACTGGCCCGTAAGGTTCAACCGCGAACCAAGAATGCGGATACTCGTCGAGCCCTTCTTCTTCTTCTTCTTCTACTTCTCCGTACGATCAAACTTCTTTTACGTACCGTCAACCTACCAGTTAGTCGCGTTTATTAAATCCATTCGCCGAATGTTGGCTAGCAACCAGCTATTTTACGCTGAAAACGTTCACGAAGGATATATTCGTTTTCGACGCGATCATCGTTCTTGATCTAGCGACTCGTGAAAAAAATATACTTTCCACGTGGGAGGAAACGAGATTCCGAGCGGAACGATGGCTTATTGTGGAGCAGATATAATGCGAGGGGTCTAATTGCCGGTCGAGAACGACGTTTCGCTCGTGAAGATGGTAAACGAGAAGCGACGAGAACGTGAACCTTTACCGCGGTCGTTAGTTGCCCTCGTAGACCCATTACAAGTTAGAGAGAGAAACACGAGATTTTTCAGCCCGACTTCGAATACTTTTGGATTCCATTATTCGCTCGTCTACTTGAACCCTCGAGAGTCTTAAATCTTGAAATCGTTACATCTCGCGGATCATTGAACGTGGTCGAGAGCTTTTCGTAGCTCGACATCTGTATGAAGAACAGCAAAATTTCTCTCTTCACGAGTTCGCAAGAATGCTCTATTAACCTTCGAAGGACCGAACCTTATCGAATTCTAAATCTATAATTTGGAATTGAAATTCATATCTGATACTTATTCGTAATAAGTAACAACAAAATGTATTTTCGAAACGTTATATGCATATATGTTTTCGATACTGCTTCGAAGCAATCGATTCTGCATACGCGTAACACAAATTGGATAGAAGAACGCGTAAGGTCGACGATACGCTTCGTCGAGATTCGAGCCCCACGAACAAGTCCGTCGTTCGTCCCTCTGCCGTTCTCAACCCCCTTTTCCGTTCTCGTAGCTCGGGGCTGAACAACTTCCTATCCATTGTCGCGTATCGCAGCAGCAGCAGCAGCAGCAGCAGCGGCAGCAGCAACGGCAGTAGCAGGCTCTTCCTCGCTCGCGAAGCGAGATGTTATTTTTTTATTTGGACAAAGGATCCTCCTCGGCGTGTTATTACCCCCCGTTTGCCTCCGTATCCACGTAGGTCGGTCTGTGGCCGCGAGCCGAGGGGTTGGAAATTAAAAGAGGGAAAGGGATGGTTTTCACGGCGAGGTACGCGAGAAATATTCACGGCGGGCCAGCTCGTCATCGCCGAGCGTGTTCGAGAGATCACTCGTCAGACGCTCGACCTTTCGAGGGTTGAAAAACCGGGGTTCGCGCCCCGACGTCGCGTTTTTCGATATCGCGAAATTATTTCGAAACTCGCGTCTTCAATTACGGATTTTCTCTACTAGAAAATGTAAATAGAAAATAAATGTATCTATAGCCGTCAGATGGTATTTCTTTCATCGAATCGAAGAGGTACGAAATTGTTTATTTGTCACGAACGACCTTGATCCGATTTACGTAAATACGACGAATAATTAACCTAAATGAAGACGGAAAGGAAACGAAATAAAGAGAATTTTCATTCGTATTATAATAAACGATAAAGCTGGTTGGTCGACGAATAACGAGAAAAATATCATCCGGTTCCACGCGCTGCGTGAAAATCGCTGGAACTCGGAAAACGCATTTCCGTTGTTCCGTAAAAACAGATCTGCTAGAATTCCGGAAATACGCGCGAGCATTCCATTTAATGGAATTAAAATGCACCGAAATATGTACACGCCTGCGCAGACAGAGATTTCGGGAATTAAAAGGTGTTTAAAGGATTAACTGGAACGAGCGCGCTTCCAAAACGTGCAAGATGTTCCGACCAACTTTATCGCTTGGAATTGTTGGAATTTCAACGAAACAGGTCGAAAACGACTTTGGTACCAGCATCGTCGTCGTCGTCGCCAGAGCGGAAATATCCACGGTAACGTTTTGTTTGCAAACGGTTGGGTAAAGCATACCAGACCATATACGTACCAAGATATTAACGGTAATCCTTAATAGAAAAAAAGGAATATTCGTAACGATAATAAACATTTTTTTTATCTTAAATAAAACGAGACATTGAAATTCGCGAAACAACTTTGAACAGAAACTTTTAGTCGTCTATCTACCATCGTGGTATAAAAATCTTGAATATTAAAATTCTTTTAATTAACGTCAGAAGCGACGAAATGTCACGGGTCCGCCAAAGATTGTGAATCCCGCTTTCCTCCAGACGCGGTTTAATTAATCAAACAAGAAACAGAAGTAAACGTTAGACGAGTTATAGATCGGTAAGCATTTCATCCATGATGAGTGTTTTTCCCGGAGTGGAGAGTGCATCGGTGGAATCGGGAATGTGAAAAGAGGTCGTTCAGTTCGATGGAATTACGTGGCGACGACGACGACGACGGCTACGACTACGACGACTAGACGAAATTCATTGGACGCGAAAGAGGCAGGAAAACGTTTCTCGGCGTAGATGGCGGGCCCGAAGAAAACGTTCCATCGTCATTATCATTATTATATTTATCGCAATTATCAAAAGGAATCGAGCCAGGCGACGAGTATTAAGCACGCGCTAAATGTACTCGTGGCTCGGTACACTTCACCGGGTTGGTAGCAGCGTGTAATAATAATTACGAAACGATACATGATAACGAGGTGCTGGGCCGCTAACGACGCCCTGACGTTGTTTCTCTCTCTCTCTCTCTCGCTTTTTTTCCCACCACTCTTATACACCCTGTACAACTCCCTGCAACGCCAACCAACGTTTCAACACTATTTCTCTCTTCTTCGTCCGTTCTCGACGTTTCCCCGATTTAATAATATGTACTTTCATTATTTTTCTTTTTTTTTTTGCAAATTTCTTCATTATTCATTCGATCCGCGCCAACTCACCCTCCGCGTGGCTGGCGCGTACATTTATTTCGTCCCTTTAACTCGTTCCCCTTCGTCCTGCGAGCGGAAAGCACCCATTTTGTTACGTTTTACAAGTGAAAAACGAAGGAAAAAAAAGTGGTACCAACTCACGAGTAACGTTATATATTTTTTTTACCCCTGTTCCTCGTCGATTTCTCTTCTCTTTCTTTTCGTCTTACTCTCGCTCGACTTCGTCTCGACGCACCGTACGCGTCGTCGTTCTCGTCGCCGTGGTCGTCGTGGTCGTCGTCGTTGTCAGGATTTATGTTCTCGTACATGCGAACCCTTCAACGTTTTCGAATCATTAAAACGAACTGGCTGCGCACAGGCCACCAGTCATCGACGCCGCCATATTAGGCAGCTCGATTCGACAGCAAATTATCTTGCTTAATTAATGTCGCGTTGGCGAATAATTGGGTGGAGCGTGGAAGGGATGTTGCAACGAACACGAGTCGCGATATCGCGAAAATTTTTTCGAAAATTTTCTCGAGTACAGTTTAGCATACCGATGGGCACGAAGTAGTTATTTATTAAACGGAGGAAAGGGGAAACGGTATCGCAGACGTTCGCGTATTCTTTATCTCGTGCCCCTTCCTTTTTCAATAGGTTCGCCCCTATTCTCGATTCTGTTCTCGTTTCCCGTTCAGTTTCGTTTGTCTCTCTCTTTGGTTGGACCGGTGTAATTTCTGCGCAGCAGGCGTTTGATCTGCGCTTTTGCGGAGAAAGGGCGATTAAAAAGTGCCGTGAGAATAACGTAGCCACGGCGAGATCTATCCTGGCGTCGCTTTGAGTCCCTCGGGCGACGCTCTCGCGGAAACTGTCCTCTCGTACCCGCAAGCTCTCGCACTTTATCGATTAAGCAACGCGAGCGTGAACGCAGGATTATATCGGTTTGCCGGTTTCGACTCGACGTCACGCCGTGCCTAGCCAACGAACACGGGACCAACCTCTCTTCACGGTTACGCGATTAATCTCTCGATGGTCTCCATCGTTGAGGACGTTATTAATTAAACGCCGGTGTTCGCGCTCGTTAAAAAAAGTCACCGTGTTTCGCGCGCTACCGCGATGACTCGACTCAACGACTAAGCTCTTTTCATTCGATAACGATTTACTGGAATAATCGCGTACGCGATGTTGTTCGCGTATCGGACGAAATAGTTGGATTTTTTCGTGCTCCGTTTTCCAACCTTCGTTTTATATCGTTGAATTTATCGAATTTCAAAGTCACGAAATAAGTAGAATAAAAAAATAACACTTACATTGGATGTCTATCTTTGCGGGTGAACTCTCGATGGAATATCCAGTTTCCTCGTGAGTAGCCACGCAGACGAAGTTTCCACTGTCGAGGATACGGTTGACCCTGGTGATACGAAGGTCTCCACCGTGTTGGTGTCTCCGCGGACTCGGCGCGAGGGGTTGACCGTCGATTTTCCACGAGTACTTGACCCGCGAACTCGGCTGCGCCTCGCATCTCAGACGCACCGGAGATCCCTCGACGACCGTGTGCTCTCCAGGGCTCACCGAGAAATAAAGGTCGCCGTCTTGTCCAAACACCGCTGCCACTGCGCAAACCGATCGATCGAACGTAATACGATCAAACACGATTAAATACGATCAAATTATCTTCTGCCTTATATCTCTAGACCGTGAAATATCACCGTGCTCGAACGAATCGTTCCTTTTAAATTATAGGAGACAGAGATTGCAGGAAACAAAGGATCGCCGCATCGGTTTTATCTCGAAATTTTCGGTTCGAGGCTCCTGAATTTTTTACGCGTTGCGAAACAAGGGAGGCGGCTGTCGGTGGTTCGCGATTAAAAATCCACTAATTATTAGGAAGCGGATCGAATCGAACGGTAAAACCTGCGTCGAGGGAACGGTTTAAAAAGTATTCGAAAAGGAGCGGAAGCCTGGTTAAACCGACCGATAATTAGCAAGAGACAATACTATTGTTGCGCGATGTCCTTTGATTTCCACGGATATAGACATCTTCGCTTGACACGACGCGTCTCGACGTTGTTCGCTATTCTTTCTTTAATGCAATATTTGTTTCTTTTATCGGTTCACTCGCAATTTTACATCGATTCGCGATACCTCTTACCCTTCGCCGCTGTTTGCACGAACACAAACGTACATGTACATCCCTGGAGTAATTTCGCACAATTTACCGATTGCCGTGAATATCGACGATTCGGCAAAGAAACGAAAAAAAAAAGAAAACCGGAGGGAAGCGAGAATCCGTGAACGATACTCGCGTAAACGTATAGCAGGTGTTTCCCGCAGAGAATCGCATTCACGTATTCGTGCACTTCTTTCGTTTGGATACAGCGATCGTAAATCCGATCGGAAGAACCGTTTATCTTCGCGAAACAGAGATTAGAACGGGTTCGCGATAACCGTTTCGTTGCGGGTAATCTACGCTTATACGAACATCGCTGTATTCTGAATTTCGCTTTAATAATTGAAATGTTCAATTACGAAAGTGTCAGGAAGATCTGGTGACAAGAAACGCGTTGATCGACCGATTTGCTTCGAATAGAAGAAAATACGGTGAAAATTGGAAGAGAACCGAGAATTCGGAATCGCTTCGAGTCACATTCCGGCGAGATAAAGCGAGCAGTCTGGCTATTTTGTAATCGTCCGTTCGCGCGCTTCAGCGGCACGTATGCGGAAAAGCTCACGTACCCGCGACTTTGTCGAACAAACGCCGGGAACGAGCTGCAAATAGTCGTTCGCGCAAATTAAACGAACCATATTGTACGAGCATGCCGCTCGACGCGCACAGCCAGGGAAGAACGTACAGATATCCGCGAAAACAGAGGGAGAAGAAAAAAAAGGCTGTAACAAGAATCATCTGCCTGAACATACTCTTTTCGGTTCGCTTCCGCGCGCCACAAAAGAGAACGAGAAAAATCGCTGGAAATGTTCGAAAATTGTGCATCCACCGATATCGCGAACAGCACCGCGTTAAGGTGTTTATTGTCGATGTCGCGTGTATCGCGAATCGTGGCACAACCAAGCGAGAATGTTTTTACGCGCAACTCTCGCAGAGAATTTTTACGCTTTTCTCGCGATACCTCGAATCCCGTACGATTCGTAACGCCGCATATTCGACCCGTTAACCGGGAACATTCGAATCCATAATGCCTGACCATAAATCTATCTCGGACGGGCCTTTGCGCTCTTTTATTTAGCATCGCTCGGGGGCCCGTTCGGGCGGATCAGGTAGAGCTTCGGTCCCAACCACCGGATCTTTCCAACGTTTTCGAAATTCAACCGTGTCCTTTGCACACCCTGTCATTATCTCGCTCTGGCTGAAAATTAACCCTTAAAAATCCGTAGCGAGAGAAACGGTCTCTCCAAGAACCTGTAATTTACAACGCTGTCTGTTCGAGCGACCGAGATCGTAATTCTCGGTAAAATGTCCCTTCTATTTTCTTCTTCGTCGTTAAAATATAGTTATGTACGGTAGATGGGTATTAATTTCATCGTAAGCATCTAAAATCTAAACTATCCCACCGAAACAACCACGACCACCTGCTCGTTTATTACTTATTCCAACAACGTGTTACGGTTACGGACTTGCACGAACCAAATTACTACGATAATTCTAGAGTTTACGCGCAGAAATCTCGAACGAGAATCATCGTTGATAACGAAAAGGATAACGAAAGAATTCGTAATTAATTCGGAATTGTTGCGTAAGATGCTAGCGGATCTTGCGATTCTTCGTTCGGTGCAACATCGAACGCTTTTCATCGGCGTGGTTTTAAATGACCGAGTGAGTCGAAGGAAGAAGGGACGCGACCGAATCCTAAAAAAAGAATGCGCAGGACCGTTGGTCCACGATCGTGGAACCTCCCCGTGGATGGGGATGCGGTAAACAACGATCGCTTTTACGACCTACTCTCGAGATTACTTTCCTCCTCGAAGCAAACGTCTCGTTCGGTCGGACGGGCATGCAGCTGCTTCGCGTTGCTTTACGGCGTTTACACAAGCGGCGTGGTTCGGCTCGATTTTTCGGCTCCGGTATATCGCGTCGCGTCGCTACGCTTCCGCGCTCGAGCGAGGTTAACCAGCCAGCGGAACAGAGCGTCTGTATTCTAGCGGAGGGACGCACGCGAGAGGATCTCGAACGGTATTTGGCTCGTAAACCACGGAGCATCGCAAAGGACGGCCCTTCTTTTTCCTCCACGGTCGATCCGCTTCCGGTGAACTTGAAAGCGCAGCACGGACGAAGCTATTTTCTTCTCGACGCGCGCCGAAAGATCGTTTCTGTCCGCACGGCAACATTCGTTCGACTATCGCAAGAGATTTCCAAGAAACTTGTTTTTTAAGAAAATCGTTATTTCTCACGCTTGAACAGATGTCGCGATAAGACTATAGATACAAGACCGCGTAAAAGGTGCACATCCAGACGACGATTGGCCGTTGCGCGGCGTTATTATTCGTAACGCGATCTCCGCGAACAAAGAATAAAGGAGGCAAACTCGTATCCGGTACGCCTCGTTACGCGTTGAAATCTTTTCGTTACCGCTTTCGTTACCCCGAGAACCTCTCGCGCTAACGACTTGCTCGTTAAAACCGAAAAATTATTAGCCGAATGCCTTTTCCGTCGACTACTCGACGATACCCGTTACTTCTTGATACGTTCGAATCTTCCTCGCGAACGCGATACGATAAGGAAACCGCCAAAACGTGGCGTTACGCGAAAGAAGAAAAAATTTTCGCAGGATGCCCGTTGGAACAACTAGAAGGAGAGTCGGAGGAAAGTTTAACGCGCGCGGATACATAATTCATAGCGCGTTTCGCGACTCGTGGCCAGCGAACTAGGCGGACATGATTTACTCTGGCGACGCGGTACAAAAGTTGCGGCGGACCGTGTTTGCTCGTCGTTGAAAGAAAGAAAATTCAACGTGGCATCGCGGAGTCTGCGTAATATTTTCACGGGATCCTGGCCACCGTGTGTCGTTGCACGACGCCGTCGCAAATTGTGTCCGCGGTGCCGCCTTCCAGACGCTCCCTAGCACCGTGAAATTCACACTCTCGGGACGACGTTTTTCACGATTCTGAATGCGCGCTGAGAGCCTCCTTTCTTCGTGCCGGGGCGTCGAGACAAGACGCGAGTAAGTCGGAGGTCTTATTTAAAAAAAAAAAAAAGAAAAAGAAAAAAAAACGACCGAGGGAAAAATGGCGAAGAAAAGAAAAGGCAAAGAAGGAGGAGAAGAGGAGAAAGCCGAGGAAGACGACGGAGAAGGAAAAGGTGGCCAAGGAAGAGGAGAAAGGAAAGACGACAGGGATGGGAAGTGCGAGGATCAGACTTGACGAGAATTAGAGTACCGACGCTCTTTTGACAGTGAAAAAAAAAGTAACGCCACTCTGACGCGCTTCGCGGTAATAAATACAAAAGCGAAGACGCCGCGAAATTATCGTGCAGGCGACAGGATACGGCGTACCCCTTGCGCCTCAAATTCTTTACGACGAATCGTTAAAAATGCACTTTCTCGTGTCTCGTTCGAAACACGTGACACGCTGTTGGCATCGACTCGAGGCTCGAACTGCGCTCGAAGCTTCTTTTCTTACGAGTGCTTTCCGATTTCCTTCGATTTCCTACTATTTTCAGCGCCGTTATTCTTCATCGGTACTCGAAAATTTAACGACGTTAAATCAAGTGTGCGCGCCTCGAGGATCAAAGTTCGCGCACCGATCAAATCATTCCGTACGAAAAGTTTATCCTCCACGGTAGTGAAAGTGCAGTGAAATTCCACGAGACGCGTCTGCTTCATTCTTATTAAGAGACGTAATTTCTTGCTCGAAATGTTCCGTACAACGTTCTATCGTTCCAACGTTACTAGTACTAAAACTAGGACGAAAATTTGAACCTATCAACGACAGACGTCAATTTCCACGGAGGAACGAAAGGATTCGAAAGTTTGGAAAAAGAAACAGCTCGCTACGTAGGAAAACGATAGAGAGGTACTCGCGTAAAAAATTGAAAAATCGAGAGAGCATCGCGATATAAAGAGGGATAGGCGGGACGAGGGTGGCATTCACGCGAACGAATCAAAGGGAATTCGTCGAACGGAAAAGGCCGATCGAGCGTTCCGGCAGTCTCGCGCGGTATAATGAGAACGCGCGAGCAAATTTCAAAGAAAGCCTATTCGTGGCTGTTCGTCGCCTCTCCAAGTACGTATATTATCCGCGTCCCTTGCGTTGCACGCGGCTCATCGAGCGCTGCTTTCCTTCGCTACGGAACGTTTTAACCTCTTCCGGAGCGACCCACGCGGTCCATCGTCGAACTCGATGGAAAATAGAAAGGACGAGTCATTTCCTGTCGGGAACGGAAACTTCGGTATCAACGACGATACCGTGTATCTGTTCGCCGTGACCGTTCTCGAACTCGCTCGCGATTATCGCACTTACGAGCCTTCGATGTTTCCTCGTTTATTTTATTTTCATTTATTTCGCGATAAAATCGTACCTCTCGCTAGTCGATAAAGTACTTATACGAGCACAAAGTATTAGATATTCGCGAGAAGTCTAGATCCTAAGCGATTCGTCCCAGGGCGCGTGGTTGCGAGAAAAGGAGCTTAGGAGCGATTACGATTTCCGCGAGGAAAACGGTGAGCACGCGACGTAAAACGTAACACGTTCGCGAATCACGGGCTACGGTGAAAGAAAGAGAATACGAGCTTTGACAAGGGGCGCAGAAGGAAGCGTGACCTGTCCTGACAGCGCGTATCGCGGTAGCTCCGTGGAAAACACGCGCGTCGTTTTCGCTCTTTATGCGTAAATAGCCGCATTACGCGTGGCCTCCGCTTTTATTCCCTCTCTCTTTCGAGCCGTTCTACCCAGCCGAGGGATCAAAGGGCTAATACAATTTTTCTTGGTACCTCCTCGACCCTCTACGCCCCTCGAACCCGCGTCTTCGTCACGCCGTGTACCAGCTACGCGGAGCAAGAGCTAAACAGAGAAAGAGAAAACAGAAAACGGAGAACGGAGAAAGAGATTGCACGGCGAGCAACTCCGAGGCTGAATAACATTCGGTGTATAAAATAGCCGCGCACGCCGCGCCGGCCCACGGACAAAGGACCTTTAGTGGCAGCCGCTGGAAAAAGAGCGTGGAGCGAGAGCGCGAGAGAAAAGGAGAGAGGAAAAGCAACGTGGAAAAAAAGTACCGGAGTACTGGTACCCCTTTTCAGGGCACAGGACGTCTCCGAACGACACGACGGGACCGGACGGGTCGTTCTCGTCCGTAACCCGAGACGCGTAATTAGGAGCACCGGACCAACCTGAATAGCCAAGTGGCCGGTGCCGCGGTGGCCCAACAGCCGGAGAAAGGAAAAGCGGAGCCAAATCGTTGGCATAAGTATACCGTCACTCGTCCATCGACCACCCCACTTTCAATTCCATCGCTGCTCTCTTTTTACGTACGCGAACGATAGGATAATTTTGATAAAAAGGGTAACGTATGTACATAATCCGGGCGTTAAAGGATCTTCTAAACCGTGTACGGATTCCGGATTATAAATTACTCCAAAGCCCAATTTTCGAGCTTCTCCGAGAAATCGATTCGCTCACGGTCGAAATTTTTTTCTAAATAAGGTATCGCGCGAAATCTCTGCCTACTAATTTTTACTCTTGCCCTTAATCACGCGTGTAGCTGCACATACGACTTTACCGTCGATATTTGGTAGGTGGATACCTACTATGGCCCCCCTTTTCCGTCGCGAGTCTGCGTATATTCGCTTTCTAGGTGTGCATGGCTATCGAACCGGTTCTCTTCTCTTCGAGAGGCAAAAGGAGGGACAGAGAAGCAGTGGGTTACCGGCCGGCATCCACGCGCAATGAAGAGAGACCATAGCCAGCATCCACCCGGCCACCATCGCCATCGCCACCATCGGCCGCTGCTATCGGAAACATCGTCGTCGGTCAAGTCGAATTTTATATCGAAGCACGCGAGAGATCGGCACGACCGATTCTGCCACCAGCAAATTGGACCTACGAGCTTCCTTTCTCTTTCTCTTTTTTACCTTTTTTCATTCTTTCTTTCTTTCTTTCCTTTTTCAACGCTTCAAAGGATTGGACGATCGCGTTAAAGGGTCATCGATACCGTTTTGGCAGCAAGACAATAGGACGTTCGATAGTCCCCACGGGAAATTCGATAAATTTATTATAGACGTTTCTTGCGGCGATGCGAAATTATCGACAGGCGTTGCAAGGGATAACTAACTGCGGTCGAATAAAGATCATTTTTTATACACGTATCGCACCTCGACGCGAACGGCCAAGGAATTGTTTAATAGCTTTAAACGTAAGTTAAAATCTGAACGAGTTTCCAAATATTTCTGTAATTTATGACGCTACAGTCGGATTCGAGAAGTACGATCGATGTAAAATTTAATCGGAAGTTGAAAAAAAAACTCGTCTTGGGTGTGGACTGGTTTCAGAATCTACCGAACGAGATATTATCGAACGATACATTAACCGAAAGGACTGCTGCTTATAAATATTCGAATAGCTTAGAAAGTTACAAGCAATTATACTCAAATTAAGAAAAGGTCCCGAATAAACTTGTCTGTCGAATGAGAAGCTTATCGAGAAAGAGAATCTAGCAATTTATTGACGCAAAGCACGCTCGTTTAAAACAGAATTTCGGGTGAACGAGTTCGAGTCGAATTCGAGACGACAGTATCGAAAAAGGAAAATTACGCGAACGATTCGGTGTACGGAATCGTTGAAACAATTACGATTAGAAGCGAACAAACACGCTCGAGCTCCGATTCGAGCTCGAATTGGTCGAGTGTGGGAACGGAGGAGACGGCCTCGTCGGGAGACGCGAGATTATCGACCGATGTATCGATAAAAGAGGCAATAAACGGCTATAAATATTCGAGTGGTCTAGAAAGTTGCAACCGATTGAAAAGCTAAGAAAATCTGTTGGAAACGCGTCGATCGAACGTTACGACGCACAGATTGGAAAACAGAAGAGGCAAATTGCTGAAAGCGGTCGTTTGTCTCGGGAGTCGCGGCAGTCAGGCCCAATTAACCGTAATTATGGCACAGCCGGTGAAAGAAGAAAGGAAACAGAGGCGCAGAGGTTCGTTGAAAAAGCTCGTCGCGAGGGTGAACGATTTCGCGTCCAGGAGTCGGAGAGGAGTTCCCATCCATAATAGCATCCCTCTTTCGGTGTCTTCCTTTTTCTCTGCTTCCACTTCCCATGATTCGTTGCACGAGTTCCGTGAGTTCGTGAGCCCGTAATTCCGCGAGCTAAGAAAATCGCGAGAAGAAAAGGACGTCGTCGCGTGTACGGTACTCACGATAGCAGAAGAGGAGGAGCGTGACTACGTCGAGACGCCGCATCCTTTACGACACTGTCCAAAAGGGGATGAAACGCGCAGCTTCGAAAGTCACTGGAGGGTGAAAGCGCGAGGAAGACGGTCCCGTTTCTCCAAACGCTTCACGTCGCTGTCATTCTATTCCCTTCGATTCGATGCTTATCGAGAAACGAACACACTTGTACACGAACAACGAGAACGAACCAACCGAACACCACGAAACGACGCGCGATACTGAAGGCCGTTGGCTGCTAACCCACGCCGCCTCGGAGCGACCCCTGCTTGCCCGATGCCCGATGCCTGGGGTTCACGGTTCACGGTCGTACCGTTTGCTCAGGGTGTAGTCACCAGAGGGAACCGTCCTACGGCCCTTACTCTGTCTTTACCGACTGTGGATATTTCAAACTTTTCGTCGCGTCGATAAGCCAAATTCCTACTATATCCACCTTGATTTTCGCGCCGGCAACGCAACGCGCCAGTTAACGCTTAAATTGAACGAAGCGGATCGTTTCGAGCGAAATTAAATTGACAACGTGCTACAATTCAAGTTTGATATATTATTTCATACATCTTATGACACGTACGTCGTTGTTCTCTCCCTCGGTAGTCGTAGTATCGTTATCGATAGCATTTTATAATAACAATCTAAACAGTCACGTTACTTACATCTCTACATTTAAACTATATACTTTTCTCGCTTTACATATTGATGTTTCTCTTCGTCTTTTCTATCGTGTACGCTGAATCCAAGTTTCGCATCTGCGGAGATGTCTTTTATTTAACGAAAAGAGAAACCGAACAACCCATCTCGAGCACGGGTGCGAGTTCTCCTATGTACAAGTCCATAAATGTAAACGATCGATCAACGTTTTCGGTTTTGATCGCGCGTCCAATTGTACGATCTTTGATTCGAGACCCACGATACGATTCATAGATACCATTCGATGAATAAAGCTGATCGACTGACGTGTTATCAGAAACAATTATTTCGATTTATTGGAACAATTGTTTAGTTTCGAAGTTCAAAGGTATCGAATCAACTTTCGTCGCGATTAACGAAACAAACGTCCAGGCGTTTGTTCGATTATTTTCACCCGATTCAGAAAATGCGTTGGAAAAATGGTACATATGTACATAAATAATCGGCATGTTCTCGTATACAGGATGATTCAAAAACCGATCACTGTAATCCTTTCACCAACTTGAGTTTTCTGAAAAGAAATCGTCTTTTCATGCGCTATAAGCGTATAGATAACATGATCTGTACGAATAATTGTCAAAAAAAAAACGTATTCGAGGTAGGTTCCATATTTTTCAAATAAAGCTCCAAAAATATGATGTAGAAATCGGTGGACTATCGTTCGAAACGTTTGTTCCTTCGAATCCTTTGGAACAATTCTAAACTGCGACTAATTACTTTGAACTCGGCCTGTATACGCGTACAACTCATGCTTAGTATGTACATGATACATATCCGTGCACGCACAAACGCGTACGTACATAATTTTTCTTGGGATATCCTTAACGAAGATAGCAAAAAGGATCTACCGTTTCTCTCGTTGCTTCCTGCAAATTCCAACTAACTACATTCTCCGAACAACGCAGGGCTATTTATATTATATACATCAGTGTTCTCGATATTAAGAGAAGTGATCTTTCGATGAACGTTGCATCGTCACGATGTATTAATTACAAAAAAGATGCGTGACAGTAGGAAACGTTCGCGGGATACGACGCGTTCTCGATATGCGAACGATATCACGCGTAACACTGACTAAACGCCGAACGAAACACGAACTAACGTAATACCAAATGTACGAATTTGTTCTCCTCCTCTTTAAAATCATTTATTTACCAGAAATATTTCCATCGATTTTCCCTTTCATCGAGATGACTAGCGTCAGTAACGAGTGAATATTTCGCGACAACGAATAGGATTGCACGTTTCAATGAACGGAGGTAAACTAAATCGAACGCTTCGAGTTTTAATTCGTTCCGGCGAGTGCGATGTACTCTACAAATCTTTCCTAAACACGTCGTGGAAAGCGTAAATTTTCGACTGTTACGTCAGGACAAATGGAAACTTGCTTCATCGTTTCCAGTCGTTTAATCAGCCGTCTCTTCGAGAACATTTCATTTGTCCTTTGTCATATGGAACGAAAGTTTACAATTTTTATGGTGCATATTGTTTTTTAGCGAAGCACGGATATAAATTACAGATTGTTACTCGATGACATCGAAATAAGTGATAGACGAAACGATTAAACGAAATAAAGAATATTCCGCGATGATTCGACAGTTTGACCGGAAACAGAAGTATTCTTCTCTTTTAGTTAAAATATCTCGTTAAAATATCTCGCGATAAGGAAACCGGACGTTTAATACGTCGAAACATCGCACCGGTCGCTATCGTTTTCTCGAAACGAATACTTGGATAAAATACAATTTCACGGCTCGATTCCGTTGAACGCAAGGAAACGGATATAACACTCGATGATCACGCAGCGAAAAGTCGATAACACGAGCATTCGTCGCGCAACGATATGTCTCTTAACACGAAGAAGACTGTCTTTGGCCGCGTTCCACGCCGCTTAATCAGCGACACAAAGTTCGTTTATCTATTGTCGATGATATGTACCGAAGCCTTGATGTTTTGCATCAATCAGCGACTTTCAGGTTCACTTCCGATCGCCCCAGCCTGCGCTGTTGTAAAACCAGGAGGATGCACTTTCGTCCCTCGTTTTACTCCACGTGTTGTCCAAACCGCTTCCTCCTCCATCCTGTCGACAATAATTATATCGCAATGATTACATCGAATCCTAAATGGAGCGACAACGATCCGATGGTTCTTCATCCGACAATTCTCGTTCCGATCGATTCACAATCAGAACTTACCACGACGTTCAATTGATGCGTAGCAGGAGACAGATAGTCCATATTAGTGTAATAAGAAGAATAGTTTTGATAGCACTGTTGCTGGGAGGTGGTTGTTGTCCACGCTAACCTCTGATGGTCACCCGGGAATCCCCCGCCGCTTTCCGTCACGGCCGGGCTCCAAATACTACTGCTGCTACCGCCGCTACTATACACCGTTCCACCTAACTGAACGGAGAATTCGAACAACGCGTAAAGACATCTGTACCGACTACGGACGGTAAACGTGTTTTCGGTCGATAACTTACGCTCGGAGGAGTCGTGCTGGCTGCCAACAGTAGACTTCCCGCTGGTTTGTACTGAGGGGAATCCCGGAGAAGAGCTGGAGAGCTGGCCGCCGAACCACCTGTACCTCCGCTTCTACGCACACAAGTTATCGCTATAAAAATGAACAGTAACGAACCGATATCTCGTACAATCGTAAGCTCTCGTTAACGATTCTTTGTACGAAGCTCGATCCTTGTATCCTGACACCGAGACTAACTACGATAAGAACGATTATCGTTCAACCATCATCTCGCTTAACTACTTTCGTTTAATTACTTGGTCAATGCGTTTGCCCGGAAGGATGCAGTCGCGTGCATCGTAAGCGTCCCCTGCCCGCGTTACATTTTTCTCAGGTTCCCGCAAAACCAAACGCACACGGTAGGAAGTCTTCCTTCTATCCTTGGTCAAAGAAAGCTTACGTAGTACCCGAGCGTACGCAACAACATGGATAATAAGAGATGTCAAGAGTTCATTTTATAAATCGATACTCCTGTTTACTACCGCAATTCCAGCGGTCGAGCGAAGCAAAGGCAAATATCATAACAAAGATATTAATGGATAGTTACAGGGGTGTTGTGGCAGGCACCGCGGCGGCAGGCGTGGGCGTGGTAGCAATCGAAGGACTTTTTCCAGAGGGCGGATTGTTGGTCGGATTTCCCGAGGGTTTCTTCGACCTCGGTGCCTTGTCCTGTTGCTGTTGCTGCTGCTTCTGTTGCTGTCTGCATTTGGCTCTGCGATTCTTGAACCACACCTACGCACACACGTGTGATTTTCAAACGAAACACGGAATCCGGACCATTTGAAAAAAGTAGCGATTAAGACAATCGTTGTTCAAAAGGAGAGAACGAAACGCAGCGTTCCATTGGTGCTCTTGGGACTCGAACGGAACGAGATTCCGAGAAGCGAATACGAAACGGTGTACAACGCCGCTACTATACACCGTTCCACCTAACTGAACGGAGAATTCGAACAACGCGTAAAGACATCTGTACCGACTACGGACGGTAAACGTGTTTTCGGTCGATAACTTACGCTCGGAGGAGTCGTGCTGGCTGCCAACAGTAGACTTCCCGCTGGTTTGTACTGAGGGGAATCCCGGAGAAGAGCTGGAGAGCTGGCCGCCGAACCACCTGTACCTCCGCTTCTACGCACACAAGTTATCGCTATAAAAATGAACAGTAACGAACCGATATCTCGTACAATCGTAAGCTCTCGTTAACGATTCTTTGTACGAAGCTCGATCCTTGTATCCTGACACCGAGACTAACTACGATAAGAACGATTATCGTTCAACCATCATCTCGCTTAACTACTTTCGTTTAATTACTTGGTCAATGCGTTTGCCCGGAAGGATGCAGTCGCGTGCATCGTAAGCGTCCCCTGCCCGCGTTACATTTTTCTCAGGTTCCCGCAAAACCAAACGCACACGGTAGGAAGTCTTCCTTCTATCCTTGGTCAAAGAAAGCTTACGTAGTACCCGAGCGTACGCAACAACATGGATAATAAGAGATGTCAAGAGTTCATTTTATAAATCGATACTCCTGTTTACTACCGCAATTCCAGCGGTCGAGCGAAGCAAAGGCAAATATCATAACAAAGATATTAATGGATAGTTACAGGGGTGTTGTGGCAGGCACCGCGGCGGCAGGCGTGGGCGTGGTAGCAATCGAAGGACTTTTTCCAGAGGGCGGATTGTTGGTCGGATTTCCCGAGGGTTTCTTCGACCTCGGTGCCTTGTCCTGTTGCTGTTGCTGCTGCTTCTGTTGCTGTCTGCATTTGGCTCTGCGATTCTTGAACCACACCTACGCACACACGTGTGATTTTCAAACGAAACACGGAATCCGGACCATTTGAAAAAAGTAGCGATTAAGACAATCGTTGTTCAAAAGGAGAGAACGAAACGCAGCGTTCCATTGGTGCTCTTGGGACTCGAACGGAACGAGATTCCGAGAAGCGAATACGAAACGGTGTACAAAGCTTTTCGCAAAGCTGGCATAATAGCCAATTAGAAGGGAATACACCGCCAGCGCAACTATCAATTACCAACGAAGCCGACTACGGTAACGCGTGCTCGTATCCCACTGCGTTCTCGTCGATGCGACAAAATTACCGGGCAAGCAAATGGATCAACCAAACTGCCTCGAGGAGGAATAATTATACCGGAATTTCATTTGCGTCGATCACTTTTACACGACACGCGTCCTACGCCATCTTGAATTCGGAATTTTTTTCGAACGATCGCGAGATTATCGATACGTGATCGCAAACAGGAAGTCAGGTCGGTAATTATCGAAGTTTTAATCTGGAAACAGTAGGAAATTTTCTCGAAATAACTGTCGAATCGATTCGAAATTTCTGCGAAGCATCCAACGAACTTGGCTCGTCCTTCGATCCACCGTTCGCCCTCCTAGATTTCCAGAACGCGAGAACGACCTCTGGAGAAGGACGCGAGACAACGAAACGGTTGGAAGAACGAAGACAGGGAATAAAGAGGTGAATGAAAGAGAGAGAGAGAGCGACAGAGGGAGAGAGGAGAGTGGGCGGAGGTGAGGCGAGAGCAAAGAGGAGAGGGAGAGGAGGCGAGAAAGAGAGGAACCTAGAGAAGCCCTGCGCGATCAATGTTAGAAGCGGAGAGGTGAGCTTGGGTTTCTACGGATTTTCTGGGGAACGACACGCGCAACCCGCGTTCTTCCACTGAAGCTGCTAGCGTCGCTGTATATTTCTACCTACTCTGTACAAATTCTCTAGTCCCGACCCGATAAATTATGTATATAGCGTATGTACGCTATCGGTCAAAACCAGCAAATCGCTCGTATCGACCAAACCGTAAAATAACATTTTTTTTAAACATCCGGTATGCAAATGTTGAGAAATAATTTTCATTTTGAAATAATCGAAATACCGATTCGTCGCGCTGTTTCTGAAAGTTTAGTCGATGTTCGCTGGAGAGATCGATCTCGCTAGACCAGGAAGTGACGAGGAAGTAAAATGGAGGAGAGCGTTGAAACGAAATAAAAGAGCAAAAAGAAATTTGCGATAGATTTTCGATCGGAAGACGACACGAGGGTCAGAGAACACGATCACGGACAAGAAGCGTCAAGTTTTGCAGTCGGCGACGAACGTGCTGAAGACTATGGGTCCGGTTGAATCCATTGAATTCGTTGACGGGGCTGGGACCAGGTGCGTTGGTCCGCAATTGCGGATGCGGTGTGCCCTTTCCACTACCGATGAGGGTGGAATATGCACGGACACGTTCTCGTTGTCTGTCGGCTTCGAAAGTCGATTCGTACGACACGAAGTCGTTCGTGACAGCGTTGAAAATTAACGATTCCACAAACTACCACGAACAGTTCCGTTTTCGAAACTACCGACAAACGTTTGCGTGAGTAGAAATTCGTCGGAAGCTTTCCAACGAAAAGACGATGGTTGACAGCGTCGGTACGCAAATTAACAGGGTGAACTACTAACTCGGTTAACACCCGATATACGGGAAACACGAACGTCCAGTAAATCGATGCTGTCTACGCGTGCCGACAGTGCTACCCTTCGGTAACGAGACACCATTAACTGCTAACGGTACCGAGACTCGTTTTCGTACACTACGCTGGATTTGCAATCGATACTTTTCTACAGATTTATTTACAAATACAACACCGTTTCGCATTTATCGAGACACGAGTGTCGATCGCGAAGATTCGTTTGTTACGGAAAAGGGACAGTAATTACGATAGAAAAAACGGTCGCATCGAAAACGTGCACCTCCAACATTCTTAGGAAGTTAAACGACAGCAACGTTTCGTACAGTTTTGCGAAAGTTGCTCCGACGTACCTGCACTCTCGACTCCGGAAGATTGATCTTCATCGCCACTTCTTCTCGCATAAAAATGTCCGGATATTTGGTCTTGGAGAAAAGTCCGTTGAGAACGTCCAACTGCGCTTTGGTAAAGGTTGTTCGCTCCCTTCGTTGCTTCCTTGGATTACCTTTAACGGAATATCCGATATACTATATTTAATAGCGGATCAACGTTCTTTCATTCGTTCTCTATAGAAATGATAGTAATAATATAAAATAACGAGTGGCACTCACAGTAGTAGGACTCACCAGCAGGAGTACAACCGGGGTAGCCAATAGTGGTGTGAAGAGCCTCGATCGGGGGCATACCGAGGGCACTGACGTAAGGGTTGGTCTTGAGGGCACCGTAGGGCCCGGCCGCGGACGCGCCAAACGCGGCGGGCCCGAAAAGATCGGAGGCCGAGGTGGTGGAGGCGGCGAGGCCCCCGAGATCGGTGGCGCCGGCGCCTCCGCTGCAACCGGAAGTACCGCCCAGGCTGTTCGGCCACATCACCACCCCCTCGGCCCCCACCACGACCACCCCCCC